TTCAATGCCCTTGCTGATGGAAGGAGGTTTTCACTCAAAATCTCACGATACATGGCCCCATTCATTCTTTCCTTTACATGGATCAGTCGTCCTGGTCCCTTTGCAGAAAAACAGCCCCAAAGCATGATGTTTCCACCCCCATGCTTCATAGTAGGTATGGTGTTCTTTGGATGCAACTCAGCATTCTTTGTCCTCCAAACACGACGAGTTGAGTTTTTACCAAAAAGTTATATTTTGGTTTCATCTGACCATATGACATTCTCCCAATCCTCTTCTGGATCATCCAAATGCACTCTAGCAAACTTCAGACGGGCCTGGACATGTACTGGCTTAAGCAGGGGGACACGTCTGGCACTGCAGGATTTGAGTCCCTGGCGGCGTAGTGTGTTACTGATGGTAGGCTTTGTTACTTTGGTCCCAGCTCTCTGCAGGTCATTCACTAGGTCCCCCCGTGTGGTTCTGGGATTTTTGCTCACCGTTCTTGTGATCATTTTGACCCCACGGGTTGAGATCTTGCGTGGAGCCCCAGATCGAGGGAGATTATCAGTGGTCTTGTATGTCTTCCATTTCCTAATAATTGCTCCCACATTTGATTTCTTCAAACCAAGCTGCTTACCTATTGCAGATTCAGTCTTCCCAGCCTGGTGCAGGTCTACAATTTTTTTTCTGGTGTCCTTTGACAGCTCTTTGGTCTTGGCCATAGTGGAGTTTGGAGTGTGACTGTTTGAGGTTGTGGACAGGTGTCTTTTATACTGATAACAAGTTCAAACAGGTGCCAATAATACAGGTAACGAGTGGAGGACAGAGGAGCCTCTTAAAGAAGAAGTTACAGGTCTGTGAGAGCCAGAAATCTTGCTTGTTTGTAGGTGACCAAATACTTATTTTCCACCATCATTTGCAAATAAATTAATTAAAAATCCTATAATGTGATTTTCTGGAGAAAATAATTCTCAATTTGTCTGTCATAGTTGACGTGTACCTTTGATGAAAATTACAGGCCTCTCTCATCTTTTTAAGTGGGAGAACTTGCACAATTGGTGGCTGACTAAATACTTTTTTCCCCACTGTAAATGTCCTGTACTTGTGGGAAATGCATCTTTCACACAGATCCTTCTCCTCTGTTAGTAACCGACTGAGCATCAACCCTAAGTCGTCCATGAAACCCAAGTGTAGCCCACTGAGCTTAAGTCTAGGCACAACTCCTTGTTTTCCCCTCATTTCAACAGCAGAGAGATGCAGCCAAGTTTATTTCACATTTTTATTGTTCATGATATTGAAACAGCTTCACTGATACAAAAATCCCCTTTGTTCAGGCAAATATACAATTTGAATGTTAGTTGATCCACAGGAAGCAGACACTGAACGGCAGGACACTGGTGCTGAGCCAGTGCTTCTTTCAGGCCAGGTTACAGATAAGGCAGATGCTTTTGGGGTAACACATTACTTAAACCCTCTGGCATGAAGACTACTTTACGTTGTCAAACGCATGACATGCAGTTTGCATGCCAGTGTTTGGTCATTTAACGTATATTAAAGTCAGCTGTCATGACTACAGCATGTCATGTTTATGTCATGCTATGACAGTCTAAAGTATGCTTCATAACAGAGGGTGAGGACATTGTACCTGAGTGATATTGAGGGCATAGCGTTGAAAGATACCCTCCCCGACCCCCTTCTTGAGTGTCTGAGACCCAAACATCTGTGCTCTCCGCTCTGGTCCTTCATTGGAAAAAAATTTGCCCCTTTTGAACGTTAAAAAACAAATGAGAAAATCACTACACGTTGTTAAAATCATGATGTATGTCCCAAGGTCTTACATCTGGTGCTGTGTGTTAGGGGTGACAGTGGTAACCCTAAAGTCTGCTCCCTAGATTAACTGAAGTTTGCAATTATTAAGGCAAAGGTTGGTTTCTGCATTCTCACACAATAGTAAGGTTTTTGTCATGAAATGTATCTTTCTTGACATACAGTAACTGAGGTTCAGGAGGAATTTCAGCAAAGACACAGCAGCCCCTATAGATGTGGACCGCATCTAAAATGTGACGGTTGGGTGGTTCTTACTAAAAGCATGTGACTTGAATGACATTTAATTTTTGACAGCACACCCACCCGCATGGCAAGAACAAGTACTTCAGCTCAACATAGGCAATATCTACCTAAGTCTCGCAGGACATCAACACTACTTGGACCCTGCAGGCCACTGTAGGACTGAGGCATCAGACAATATTACCAACAAACCATTCATTAATTCAAGGTCTAGGTACTCCAGATATGTAACTATGAAGAAATATAAAGGGAGAAGAGATTTTCTACAAATGTACAAGCTTCCATAAAAGAAAGAAATATCATCATACAGCAAAATCTGAAACATTGAATACTAAAATAACTGTCAGATTGTAGAAGACTTCTGGTAAAATCCCTTACAACCCCCACACAAATAATTCAGTGAGTGTACCATATAATACGATTATTTACAAAGCATATACAAGTTGTCAAAAAAGACCATGTTTGTAATCCAAAACATGCACATAATATACCATTTCATTTGAAATATCAATTTGGTTCATGCATATGTAGATCCACAAAGGATCTGTAAATGTTGTCCATTTTGGCTGGATCCATTCGGAACGCGTATCTGCTTTAATACCTTAGAGAACAGGTATTCTATGCTTTGAATGCAAACTACTAATATAACCATCTACTCTACCCAGGGCAACACAAGTAGAACAGGCAGAAACCAACCAATTATTTTTCAGCAAGGCATAATTTGCACAGAATTTTCGGAATAAATTTATCGTGGTAATAAACACATACTGTTTATGTTAACTCTACTATCAGCACGAATTTGACGTAACAAATCACTGGTAGAAACTTAAAATAACAAGCCCTGTAAGCAACAGTGGATGCATTTCATTTCTCTAATCTTCTCCACCTTTAACATTATGACCAATATGGAACTTAAAGGGGCAATCAGGAGTTGAAATAATAAAATAAACAATCTGAAGAATGGGGTTGGAGAAATGTAACCTCTCTTAAATCCATAGACAAAGATATGGATGCAAGGACTGACCATTAATGATGTCAAAATTATGGTTGTAACCATGTTTCGAGGCTATATAGTGTTTGTTTACATTTACATTGTTTACAAACATTGGAGTAAAACAAGTGTATATTTTAGGTTCTGATGGGGTATGACAGTTAAACTAAGCTCATGAGGCAATTATAAGTTATATTCTTCAAGAATCAATGGGTACAAATCATTAATTTATAAGTCCAAAAATTTATGTAGCAACTGCAGATTGCCCCTTTAAGGTGTGAACTGCAAACACAGATAAAACAACTTATCTTGTGTCTCAGAAACAGTACAGCCTGGAGGTCCAATCCATTGCTTATTTTATTCACTTTTTTTCTTCTTCCACAATTGAATTTTGTCACAAGATATCGTTTTACACACTGGGATAGAAGAAAAACATTCTCATGGGTTATAGGATCGCTGTGCCAAGTCAAATAGCTAAATAACCTGTGTGGTATACTGCCGGTAGACCTTCTTTAACTCTCATAGAGTTCTATTGATGTTCCTCTTCACTGAAACTAGCTTTCACTAGTTGTATTTCATAGCACAGTTTACTTCACATGAAGTTTAGGAAGAGATGGAGTTACTAGTTGAAAATGATCTCAAGTCAACAACATGAGCTCATCTCCTGGTAATGTTCGCTGCAATTGACCCAAGGGCTCTGTAGCGTGACACATTGGACAAGAGTGAACTAGAAGGCAAAGGAAGAAAGAAGTAAACTGTCATTCAGTAGACCAGCAGACCATTGGCCAAGTACTGGTACATTCAAAACTCGGCAACATTCAAATCTCTCGACAATAATACTGAATGTAGTCTCTTGTTTGAAGCACAGTCTACACGGCTGTTTCAAAATGTCTGACAGTGTGTGTTGATCATCATGTTAAGTGTTGATTGGGAGAATGGACATGGCTGAAAATGTTGACTTGGTGTATGTCAATGTGTATGCTTGCTAACGTCTAATCTCATGATTGCTGTCAAGGCATGTTTTGAAAGCAACACACTGGCCACTGAGAAATATGTGTGTGCACATCAACTTTGGTGATGTGATTGATTGTAAGAGTATAAAATAAAATAGAAACTCAACGAAGACCTACTTTACCAAACCTAGTTTACAAATATCTTTCAGAACAACTTTTTCCAATCTCTAGCTGGGAAAAAGATACTACAGCTGTCATATGTACGGTTACGTCGACTTTGCTTACTCCCCCTAGGTGTACAAAAATATATTTTGACAGTAAGCAAAAGAGCTCCAATTAGTGTAGATTGTGTGCTGTGTGTGTGTGTTTTGTGTGTACTTGTGTGTCTGCCTGTGTTAAAAATACATTAAAACTTGAAACATATGCTAAAAGTGCTCTCTGTCTGTTTTTGAACCCTGTCTGTCTGTCTGTCTGTCTGTCTGTCTGTCTGTCTGTCTGTCTCTGTCTGTCTGTGTCTGTGTGTGTGTGTGTGTGTGTGTGCGCAGAGCCCATGGCCCTGTAGCCACGCCTGCAGTCACAACCAGCGCCAATAGTGGCAGCTCTCAGATCAGCTCTCGTTCTCTTTGGGTTCTCTTGACAGTTTAATGGTTGAGGTCCCTGCTCGTATTTCTCCTTTCCACAGAGTAGGGATGATGGGTTATCTAGACCACTACGGCAGGGCGCGCAGCAACAGCCACAGCGTCTGCCGTCTTTTCTCCCGTTTCTGACCGTCCTCCTTGATTACTTTGTGTCCTTTCGGTGAGTCCCTGTTGTGGAGGATTCTTTACAACTACACCATCCAACAACAACAACAACAACAACAACAACAAATAAAGAAAAAGAATAAGGACCTTAAAATATTCTGTGTCAGTCGTAGAACGTAGTCCCCTCCAGTAATACTTAGTGGAAAGGGGTGGGGGTTGAGAAAAGCAAACCGTCCCTTTACAGTACGCTGATGTACTCAGTCTGTGGGTGACCTTACCCCCAAGGCCCAGTCAGGGGAGGGGGGTTGAGGTGAGAGGGGGTGGAGGTAAGGGGGGTCCTCTGGGAGCGTCCAGTCTCGGTGGGGCTGGGGACGGGGGTGCTTAGTGACCACCGCCGGAGCCGGGAGGGTTGTGGATCCAGTCCATCACGATAAGCGACAGGCTGCTGAACATGAAGATGATGCCCACCACCAGGAAAATGGCCGCCTAAGATACATTAGGAAAAAGAACAACGACACTGTGAGAGGAGGTTGTGTGAAGTGTGCATATTTTGTACGTTTAGTGCAATCCTTTTTTGGCAAGAATCTCAGGTGAGCCTCTGGGAAACCCTGTTTTAGGGGACTGCTGTAAATCTGTAAACCAGGGTTGTTGTCTAAGTGCTGGGGGGTTGTTCTAATAACAGCTATGGTGTCTCTGTATGGGCATGTTGGGAGCCTCAAGTGATGGGTGCTAATTTCGGCAGGCTATTTCATGTGTGTGTCATATGTTGCGTGTGTCACAGTGACTGTTCTGTCTGTGAGTCACCATATCTGATTTGGAGTGTATGTGTGTGTGTTTGTGTACCACTGTTTCCTGCACACTTACTGAGATCTTCTGCAGGGAGCGCATCGGCACAGACTTTACCAGCCGTAGATAGAAGGCAGCAGGCAGGATGAAGATGAGCATGGTGGCTGCAGAGGAGCCTGGGAAACAGGAAGAAGACCATCAGTCATTTAGCCTTTTCTGTCTAAACAAATGTCCTCACTTAGACAGTACTAGCCTCAGGGTGTGCAGGATTTTGACCCAGCCAAGCACTAACACACCTCATTCAACGAAATACCTCCACATCAAGACATCAATAAGTTTAATCAGTGTTAGTGCTTGGTGCGACCAAAAGCCTGCACACCCCGTAGCGCTCCAGGAATGGGTTGGGGACCACTGCTGTGGTGGAGGAGGACTCACCGATGAAGCCGAAGATGTCTCTGATGGTGGGGACGAAGATGACCAGCAGGTTGTTGAACACGAGGATGAATGCGGCGATGAGCATGTGACGCACCCAGCTGAACTCCCGTTGGCTGAACAGCATCGTGTTGATGGAGGAACGGATCTGCAACACAACGCAAACCTCTTTATAACGTCTGATCGGCTCAGAAAACACACAACTGCTACATACTCAGAATCAGTTGACACTTAGGATACCACTTGTAAAGTGTTTTTTAATGTATTGATTAATACAGCACTTTTTTGTCATTATTTCTCTTACGCACACGCACACACACAAACAAATACACACACACAGTCAAATTCAAGGGCGAGTAGGTATTATTGTCAGTCATGTCTGCAAACCAGTCTAAGCCCACAGGCCAATTCCTACAGTTGGCTGCTGACTGAAGTGTGTCAACTGCAGCAGGTGAGATTCTAAGTATGCAGCCAGGCAGAGTTGCATGGAAGGAGGCCACCAGCTAAGAGGCTGAGAGCTGCACAGCTCAAGGCATTGAGTTAAAGACTTCACTGGGTGAGAGGTCACGGGTATCAGGTGAAAAGGAATCGCTACAGGCCAGCCGGCCACAGAGGGAAAGGTTGAGGAGGCGGGGTTTAAAGCGCCATTCAAACAGCAGAGGATTAACTTCGGGAGAGCCTCCTGCAACAGCACCCTGGGATTGCATCAGCCGAGGGCCAGAGAAGGCGGGACCGAAGGCAGCAGGGGAGAGGCGTGCCCTGCCTCCAGGCAACGCTTGTCACTTAACAGTTTCCCTAATTTTCCCCTTTATTGAAATCCTCTCATTTGCTCTTTTCACTAATGATCCCGTTCCTACGTATCCATTTAAAGAGCAGAAATACGAGATGCTTGGCTGGTTCATGTTTCAGTCTAAATACTTGTTTGGTGAGGGATGATGGCGTGCTGCTGTCTTGAGTTGTGGATTTCGAGCCAAAATGTCCGACACTGACACCTTGCTGAAAGAATGTATGAAGGAGTGGCAGCGATTAACACCCTTATTATTTTGAGGGAGTGGCAGTAACTATGCTAGGCAAAATCCCCCCCCCCCCCCCCCATTGATAATAAACCATCCCCTCTCCCAGCAGCCATTGCATAATTGGGCCGGTGAAAACCTGGTGCCTGGGCGTGACATTTGTACCCACCTGGCCGCCAAGGCTCTGAACTATTCAGCGCCCAACAGAGATCCTGCGCAGGGCCTTTGGATTGCACCATGCAATATTTCACTGCATCTCCCTCCCTCCACCAGCTATGACAGCTCCCACTGGGGTGAGATATGTGGCAAAGCGCCACCGCTGCTAAGGTACCTGGGTCTACCAGGCCAGCCAAAAGCTAGCAACATGGCCCAAAACCAGGGAGCCAACTGGGCTCCAACCAAGTGAAAGATTCTGCAACCTTTTCAGCTACAGCTAGATATAGGGCCTGGAATTACTACGCCTTGGTTTGCTCCTGCTTTTTTCATAGGGGAGGAAGACATTAAAAAGGGTAGAGCAAAAAGCTACATTCAAGATTAAAATAAACAATCACACCATAAGGTCAGAAGTAAGATAGAGAGGTTTTAACTTGAGATTTTTTAAATCCTCAAATGACTGGCCATCAGAAATAAAACCCATTTTAATCCCTTTTCCACCATATTCAACAAGCCTATTCAACCACTGTCAAAGACAGGTGACAGGGTTCACTTTGTAAAGCCAGTCAAATTATCCAGAAAATACTGTATCACAGCAATAATAGGGGCTGGTATATAATTAACTTACTAACTATAAGCTTATTTTCCATGAAGTCACTGTGAAAAGACAGCATGCACGGCAGGTTACTTTTGGTCACAGCCAACAGGGCACTGTGCATGTGCACCACAGGGTTTGCCTTCTCTGACCTGCCCTCTAGTGGAAAACTCAGCAGCAACCTAACAACTCCATCATAAGAGTACAAGCACTAACAGGCCAATGTAGCCATCATAGCTGACTGCAACACAAACAGAATCACTTCTTATTACAGAGCCGTTAGCACCAGCAAATAACAAGGTTAATAGTTAGAAGCCCTTATTTCATAACATGCGTTTGGTCCCGCTGCTTTATTTACATCATTGGAGATACGATCAAGAAAAGGCCAAACGCCTTGAAATGAGGCCAGAGAATATCACAATATAACAGATCATATCACACCAACATTCAAAAACAATGTTGTAAGTAAATTAAAATAACTCATGAAAACAGGAATCATTATACTTAAGAACATTTTAAGTGACTTCTTAAACAGAAAAATGAACAGTTGACTTGAGGTAATCTGGTAGTTTGTGTTCCAGTTATTGAGGAGCCATGAAACAAAAAGAGCATGGAGCATGGGTACTAGGCAAGTCCGCCTACCACATCTAAATACTGTTTCATTAAAACCTGCTGGTTCGTGACCAAGTATCTCTACTGTTGACATTAGGGTCTTTACTGTTTGAGCCCACCCTTCCACCTCTCCTCCCCTCGTCCCTCCTACACAACCCCAGCCCTCCCGCCTGTACTCAAGGACATAGTGCTTGAGAGACAAAGCAAACGTTCATCTGGGTGCTGAAGGACTCTCTGCAAAATGAAGGGCAAAGGACTCTCAAGGGGAGGTCTCAAATGTCACGTCTCGTGATTCAGAGGGCTGGACACCTGGCAACGTGATGCCAGCGTGACTAGTTACTTTCATTTCACCTCCATAAAACTATCTCCTCAAGCTTGTGCGGTGAACTGAACTCACTGCGCTGTAAATGCTGAGGTGCACGTGATGCTTTGTTGAAGCCTGAGCAGCAGTCAAGGGGGGGAAATCAATGGTTTGATGCTGCTGGGTTATCTAGGCCTAGACTCATGTGTTTGGAAAAGATGATGTCATGCATATGCTATGCCCCCCACAGTTTTTCAGGCGTAACAGACCAGTAGCTAATGGCTACAGCGAACACGGCAGCAGACATTGTGACATGATTGTGTCCAAACATGTATTCGACATGCTGTACTTGCTTTATGTTCACATCGCCTCCCTTAGTTTCTGTGCTTGACTACGGCCTGCTCAAGGCGCCTTTCTGCTATGGGAGGGGCTTTACAGACACACATTTACTTTTACATTTTTGTCATTTAGCAGATCCAGAGATTTAGCTCTTATCCAGAGCGACTTACAGTTAGTGAATGCATACGTTTTTTTCATTTTTTTTCCGTAGACAGGGGCACAAGTGGACAGGAGCACAAAATGTGTAACGTGTTACAGACATGTTCTCTTGGGGTCCTGGGGGTGTTCCTCTGTCTTGTCCTTCTGAGCTGGTGCCCTCTGATCCAGAGCGGTTAAATGCATCAGTTGAATGCATTTAGTTGTAGAACTGACTAGGTACCCCCCTTTCCCTTTCCCTAATGGATGACATACACCAAACGTATGTGGACACCCCTTCAAATTAGTGGATTCAGTTATTTCAGCCACACCCGTTGCTGACAAGTGTATAAAATCAAGCACACTGCCATGCAATCTCCATAGACAAACAGTGGCAGTAGAATGACCCGTACTGAAGAGCTCAGTGACTTTCAACGTGGCACCGTCATAGGATGCCACCTTTCCAACAAGTCAGTTCATCAAATTTGTGCCCTGCTAGAGCTGTCAACTGTAAGTGCTGTTATTGTTAAGTAGAAACGTCTAGGAGCAACAACGGCTCAGCCGAGAAGTGGTAGGCCACACAAGCTCACAGAACGGGACAGCCGAGTGCTGAAGCGCGTAAAAATCGCATGTCCTCGGTTGTAACACTCACTACCGAGTTCCTAACTGCCTCTGGAAGCAACGCCAGCACAAGAACTGTTCGTCGGGAAATGGGTTTCCATGGCCGAGCAGCCGCACACAAGCCTAAGATCACCATGCGCAATGCCAAGCGTCGGCTGGAGTGGTGTAAAGCACGCCGCCATTGGACTCTGGAGCAGTGGAAACGCGTTCTCTAGAGTGATGAATCAGGCTTCATCATCTGGCAATCCGACGGACGAATCTGGGTTTGGCGGATGCCAGGAGAACGCTACCTACCCGAATGCATAGTGCCAACTGTAAAGTTTGGTGGAGGAGGAATAATGGTCTGGGGCTGTTTTACATGGTTCGGGCTAGGCCCCTTAGTTCCATTGAAGGGAAATCTTAATGCTACAGCATACAATGACATTCTAGACGATTCTGTGCTTCCAACTTTGTGGCAACAGTTTGGGGAAGGCCCTTTCCTGTTTCAGCATGACAATGCCCCCGTGAACAAAGCGAGGTCCATACAGAAATGGTTTGTCTAGATTGGTGTGGAAGAACTTGACTGGCCTGCACACAGCCCTGACCACAACCCCATCGAACACCTTTGGGATGAATTGGGAAGCCGACTGCGAGCCAGGCCTAATCGCCCAACATCAGTGCCCGATCTCACTAATGCTCTCGTGGCAGAACGTCCCCGCAGCAATGTTCCAACATCTAGTGGAAAGCCTTCCCAGAAGAGTGGAGGCTGCTATAGCAGCAGAGGGGGGACCAACCATATTAATGCCTATGATTTTGGAATGAGATGTTCGACGAGCAGGTGTCCACATACTTTTAAATAAATAAATAATAATATGCCATTTAGCAGATGCTTTTATCCAAAGCGACTTACAGTCATGTGTGCATACATTTTTTACGTATGGGTGGTCCCGGGGATCGAACCCACTACCCTGGTGTTACAAGCGCCATGCTCTACCAATTGAGCTACAGAGGACCACACCACTTTTGGTCATGTAGTGTATGTCGCGCAGCTGAGAGTCGTGTAGAGACGAAGGGATTTGGTTCAGTCAGTCGTCCTGATAAGCCCTTCCCAGCTAGTTTATGCTGGCTACCTGGTAACAGTAGCAGCATGGTGCTAGTTAAAACTTGTAAAAGAAAGTGATGATAATCTCGATGGGCGAGAGAGAAATAACTTGTAGTATTAGTCACCATCTGGACCTGGTCACCCTCTACAATTTCTTCCATCCCACTTGATTTTATTCCGAGTAGGATAGAAGCCTAGACGAAAAATAATGTAATGTTTGTAGTAACCATCTGGATGTCACAGTGATACAGTCTACTGCCCAATGGGGAGAGATTGCGCTGCAAGCAGGCAACACAACAACACGGGGTACAGTGTTCTTCACTCCCGCTTGCCGCAGTAAGGAAGGGGTAGCTAGATAGTGTAGCCAATATCAGGCCAGGGTGACAGCTGAAGGACATTTATTGTAGTAATTGTCACAAAAAATGTCCAACTACGGCATTAACGTCTAACGCTACATAAAAACAAAAACAACTCATAAAAAACTAAATGATTTCAACTTCGGCAGACAAATTTCAAATTCTCGCTGAAGTTTCTAGCCACAAGCATAAACTAGCTAGCTGGGAAGGTCTCATTGGGAGACTGACTGAACCGAATCCGTTCGTCTCCACTCGACTCTCGGTGCGCAAGAAACGTAATCAATTTGGGCACTAGTCCCTATAGCCTCTCCCTTCTGGCACTGCATTTTGGTGTCAGCTGCAGTTGTCAGTGAGTGCATTGTCCCTCCCTCCCTCTATCTATCTATCTTTCTCTCTCCCTCCCTCTCTCTGAGGGGGAGGTCGAGGTGAGGGTTTTTCCACTGTCTGCTCAGGGCTTATCTCCTGTAAACTTCCACTGGGATTGTGAGATTCACTCGCACATTCCCATGACCAAAGAAGCATTCACCCCCACAGTGAGAGAGCTGGTGAGTGTGTGTATTTCTCTGTGTGTGTGTGTGTGTGTGTGAGTATCAGTATAGCCCACATACAAGGTGTGTGTGTGTGTGTGTACCGCTCCAGCCCACAGACAAAACTGCAACACCCCCCACCTCTCTTTATCTCTCCAAGCAGGGCTGACCAGAGCCATGGGGCTGACAGTTCTTCCCTGCCCTCTGCTGGTGTCTCAGTGTAACAACACCACCAACACATACTCCATTACCCTTCCATCCTAAAACTGTCTCTCCCATCGCAAGAACCCATCTCCCAACTCCTGCAAGCTACAGTGCCTGTAAGTAAACAGTGGGTCAACTAAGTCCTTTGAGAGGATCCATTATAATGGGCACTGCTAAGTGCTAATGCATGGTTTATTGTAGGCTACAATGGAGGTCCATGACACCTCTAAGCCCTCAGCCCTTTATGGGCTCCTGTGCCAGGCTAGGGCCAAGACAAATATAGCCCACGGCCATATAGGGGGGTCAGGTATGGCCATGTGAGGCCAACGCATTCAGTGACTCACACACACACCACAGGCAGGCAGACAGGCAGGCAGGCCGCATGAAAAGGAGGTCACATAATAACCGGTGGAACAGAAACACAGTATCAGACCTGAACTGACGCTACAAACCAAGGCTAAACTGTACAAACCGAGGCTAAACTGTAAAAACCGAGGCTAAACTGTAAAAACAGAGGCTAAACTGTACAAACCAAGGCTAAACTGTACAAACCGAAGCTAAACTGTAAAAACCAAGGCTAAACTGTAAAAACAAGGCTAAACTGTAAAAACAAGGCTAAACTGTAAAAAACAAGGCTAAACTGTAAAAACAAGGCTAAACTGTAAAAACAAGGCTAAACTGCAGCTTACACTTTAACAAAATAAGGACGGTAGTAATTGACATTATGGTATATATTTGCTAGGACAGCATGTGGTAACAATATGCTACTGAGAGCTGACTGGGTAATGAGAGACAGAGGAGTTGTGAACATTACACTGTGTTCCTTGGCAGCCAGGCTAAAGAGCTTGTGATGAACAAGACAACTATTTTATCACTGCTTTTTCACATTTGCATTGACATTTTAGTCATTTAGCAGACGTTCTTATCCAGAGCGACTTTTTTGTGCTTTCACATGCTGTGCCTGTACATGTATGTGTCACCCAGAAGGAAGAGACAGAATATGTATGACATCATTTGGGGAGCAGTGCAGGGGTGCAATTGTTTCAAAGCTGTGTATGTGTGTGCGTGTTAATTTGTGTTTGTGCTTATGCTTGTGTTTGTGTGTCTAAAGTATGATCGAGAGTATGATTGGGGGAGGGAAAGAGTTATCTTGTAAGGAATCTTACGGCAGACAAACAGAGCTTTGAAAACCTGGGCTGGTTCTCATTTGGGACCTGGGGAGTTGGATTGACGGGAATTGCTGAAAGTCCAATAATGAGTCAGCTAACATCACAGCAGAACAGTATGTGCTTTACCATGTTCAGCAAGAAAACCAGCCGTGTCAACATCACCCACTCACTCAGCCAATATAGAAAGAGACCCTGTTGTTGGTATTAAAATAATTAATGGATGCTTAGCTCATTTGGATAAAATGACCTAGGTGTTGAGCAGCGTGTGAATGTGTGCAGTGTGCCACCATAAATTATAGGCGTGAGAATGTGTGCATATGTTTTGTGTATGTAGGTGTGTGTGAGTCTCTGTGTGTGTCTGTGTGTGTGTGTAAATGCATGCGTGTGTGTTTGAGCAGATGCTCGTTGTACTTACAGGGAACAGGACAATGGGGACAGTCAGGGTGACAGCGGTCAGGACAGCCAGACGGACCAGCAGGAGCATGGTGTCAAACTTATACACCTTGGTGAAGGTGTGGAGCAACTCCGCCTCCACGTTTTCTGTGTTTGGGAGAAAGAAGGAATACAAGCTGTCAGAGACACACCAATACAAAAGCCTCAACTTGGTGTGAAAGAGAGGTATGGTAAACAAACACACCCACCTCAATGGTTATGGTAGCTTACTAGTGTTTTAATACATACTACTGGCTCTTTTTCAAACATTTCACTCATAAAGTTAACATATAACGGCAATAAAAGCAGAAACGAAGTAATACAATTGCTGCAAATGTATCTTATTGTGTGTGTATCTTACCGTAGAAAGTGAGGTAGCCGAACAGCGCTGAGAGCATGTACATGACCAGCATGGCCAAGATGGACAGGTTGGACACGTTCTGCATCTTTCTCCGGGAGCGACTGGGGGAAGACGCAAGTTGAGATGTGAGTTGAAGGAGAAAATGTACTGCAGCAATTTATATGAGCGTTTGTGAGCGTCTATGCAAATGTGTCTTTTGTAATTCACTTGGATGCACTCACTCTTTGAGTTCACTGTAGATGGGTAGAATTTCAGGGTGACACACAAAGGAGAAGGCCAGGATGGGAACAGTGTAAGCAGTCTGAAATGACAGGAAGAGACAGTGGATGAAACACAGGCCCAGATTCACACTCACAGAAGCTAACAATGTTTGGTTTGATTTCATGTACGTTAAGAATTGGGTTCTTCTAAACCTTGATTAATCCAGTTTCTGGGAATGTTTTTCAGAGGATATTGTTTCCAAAACACAGAATTATGACATTAAGCATCCTGACTCACCACACATACACACCCCTCCCACATACCTCCACCTCCCACCCACATACAGTACCTCCACACCTCACCAACTCACCTGAGAGTTGAACACAAAGTACTTGGGCGTGCACATCTCCTCCACGTCGTCGGGGTGTGGTTCGAAGCGGACCCCTGAGGTGTGGTGGTTGTCCAGGTAGGAGGCGGGGGACATGTCAGCTCTGGAGAAGTGCATGAGGACGGTGCCGTTGTGCAGGGCGTGGGGCCCCAGGGCTGTTCCATTCATACTGTGGTTGGTATGATGGTACATGAAGGGCATCGGGCAGGGGAGGTTGTACTTCTTATAGATCAGCTGAGGGGTAAACAGGGGGGAGAGGGGGAGATGGGGACAGAGGGGTTAGATGGGGACAGAGGGGTGAGATGGGACGATTAGCAAACATAGAAATGCATTATATTACATAGGCAGCATTCCATTATATGCCATTATATTGCAGAGCAATGAGTTCCTTCCATCCTATAATCTTTCAATTCCGTGTAAAGCTAAGTGTGGCCGCAAGCATAGATCTATTTCATTAATGATGGCACAGACTGTATCAGTGTTTAATATGATACACCACTAGAGAGCAAGTGGGCCAAAGTGGAGTTTAAGATATCAATAGAAGGCTATTGATAAACTCATCTCTAATCTCATGTATGGTAACTAACCAGCTGAAAGCCACAGCAGGCATATTCTAAATGTTACTAGGAGCTCCCATGGCATGCAAATCGGCCACATTGCCTGTGAGAGCAAAGCCAGCACTGGCATAATACCCTACAAACTGTCAGGATGACATTTAAGGAGGAGAAAGTAGGTACAATCAAGACGCCGTGCGCCAAGAATACAAAAGCAACATAGGCGAAATGTACTATTTTGGCAACAAGTATTTTCTGTCTGCATTGAAACGTGACAGGACAGAAAAAGAACGTCAGAGATCATAAAAAGCAGGAGTTGTTGCCATATTGACGGAAGGTGAAATGTAGCCGTCTTATCTCACATCTGATGGTACTGTATATAATACCATTTATCAGCACCATCACCCGTCATTGATCAGTCATTCAGCGGGCTAAAAATGCTAAACTAGCGAAGCAAGAGGAGACAGGTTGAACTTACCACTCCCAGGAAAAACACCATGCAGGATAGGGAGAAGCCACTGGTGTAGCCAAGGTAGCCTAGCGACAAGAGAGAGAATTAGAGAGAAACTCATTTACAATCACGCAAACACTCACACACATTATGTAAACAAAGTACACAAAGACTAACTCGGAAACACACACACTCGTTCCCGCACACACTCACATGCCCAGACACACACACACACACACACACACACACACACACACACACACACCACTTACCCAGGTTTTTGAGTATACAGAGAGGCAGGATGATACCGATGGATACAAACACAACCAGGTAGTTTCCGTTCATGTACCATTCACTGTACACAACGCAGAGAGAACAGGTCTCACACACAGAGCATCAATCCATCCATCTATAAATACACCAACCAAACTGTGTAGTGTGTTGTGCCATCTGTGTCAAATGAACTACAAATAACTGATTTGATGAAATAGTTAACCAATGACAGACAGACACTTACCCAGAGCTCTCCTCCAGTCCCATGAAGGCACGGATCACTTCTGGCAGCTCATACTTTACAATGAAGAGGTAGCTGGACATGGCTGTGTGCAAATAAACACAAAAAACAGAAAGATTTGACCACACTGAAACCAACTAGCATGTCCACAGCATGAACATATCAAAATAGAATTATAACACTACAATTAATGCAACATTAGCTGTTCACTTACCACCAATATTTTGAAGGGTTATCGATCCAAATGCAGCCATTTTCCCCGGCCAGCCAAAAGCTCGCTCTCCCAACTTCTCATAGATGAGAGAACCTGTTAGAATGACAATGTGGTGATGATTGATATTCAAATATACAGAGAAAAAGTAGCAGGAAATTGAGGCCAGACAGACAGACAGATAGACAGACAGAGACTAATGACAGACAGACATATATGTTCATGAGTTTAAAAATGACACCCACCTCCTTCTTTTGCAGTCACTAACAGCAAGTGAACGGAGTACAACGACAAGATGGCCACACCCAAGAGAAGGATTCTACGTTGGGATAGAAAGCAGTCAGACATTAGCATTTGGCTCTACCATACGGAAATCTTACACAAATCACAATGAACAACACTTGGAGGGGAATCAACTGGGTTACAAAACACCCTACATAATAACTTTCACTAGTTTCCCCCCCTAGTCACTCTCACTCTGTTTTCCCCATGACCTATTTAGGGAAGTAAACTTAGCTTTTAGAACCTTAGTCGTATTTCACTTGAGGGGGGTCCGGATGCTTTCTCTGGCAAGCATTTATTGCCTATTTGAGAAGACCATGTTCCAATGCCTAAAGCACATGTCAAAGACACTATCATGCCATGTCAATATATAAGTGCCAGCTCAGACAAAAGAGTGGTAGACCAATGCGTGCCACTGCCTAGAGACCAGACTACACTCTAGGCTCTTATATAAGTAAATAAAGTAACTTGTGAGTTATTCCTGGAGGGGGTATGGGTTTCCCGCATCGGCTGAACATGAGCAGCCTTAAATCTATCACCTTATGCTTAAAGAGGTCACCAAGGAGCCTCTAACCCAATCATCCAGCCTCCAATGGGCTCTAACATATTAAACTAACTGAATTAAAGATGTTGTTTTTGAATTGAGAGTTGCCCCTGTACCCCTCCCTGTACTATTGTTGGCCAGAGACAGGCAAGCAGGTGAATGACTGTATCAAATGGGTGTTATGTAATACCACCTTCCGGAATGTCAGGGAAGCCCAGAATAGATGGTGGGGAAGTAAGATGTCGCAATTGATGAGGGGGACTGACGTTAAGGGACTCCCTGTAAACTCCTTAGGACCGGAAACAAACCGGCTGCGCCACTATAATCATCAAGTGGGTTCCTAATCTACTTCCTTGTCTCCTGTCCTTCAATCACTTTCAGGGATATGGCGAAAATGATAATGTTTTTGCTTAGTGAAAGTACTCAGTCACTAAATCATTTCTTGGTAAAGCCCAGCCATATACAGCGGAAACAGGACTGAAAGAAAGAATAACCATCCTGTTTTGGACATTTGAGAAACCTGGTTTGTCACAAAAAGGTCCTGATTTCCGAGCCAGTTAGTGTCTGTGTCTGCCTATTCCCGAATACATACCCCACCACTAACCCTGTTGTCAAACCCCACTTGCTATACCAAAGACTCTAAAGCAGTCCTATCAGTAATACTATACGATGCAGACAGAATACTTTACTTTATTAACTGGTGCTTTAATCACTTGACTGTGGCAGAAACCAAACACTGACCCCATTCCACATTGTCTCTATGGCAGAAGTTGGCACACACTTACACAAAAAGCACAATGCCAGTGTTGGCCATGGCGTAGGAGAGACCCAGAATGCCGCTGCCCATGATTGCATTACTCAGGTTGAAGACTGACATACCAAAGGAGGTATGTCCAGGGTGCTGAGAGAGAGAAAGTTAGAGAGAGCGGGTAAGAGAGAGTTTACCATGAGTTCAACTGATCGTAAACAAGAACATTTCACACACACATATGCGTCACACACGCGTAACTATCAGTTCCTACGAAAGGGTTCCTCGGAAGGAAGGATTCAATAAAAGCAGATAGCTTTTGAGGAAATGGTCAAAGTCGTTGCAAGAGCAAGAGCAAACATGCATGTGTTGTCATCGATAGTTTATCATCAGTCTTCTTACGTATTCTTCTTGATACTCCTCGTACTTCTTCTTCTTCATAATCCCATTAGTGAGAAACTTGTGGCTCTCTGCATCTCCATCCTCATCCAGGAAGTGACTGCAGATGTACAATCATTGAATCAATCTCTAGTTTAAAATAATTATTTACGACTAGTTTACGACAGCTATGTTATGACTTTATGAGTGGTTATAGGGTCAGTTATGCTAGTTCAAGCTTCTATTGGGCTTTTGTAAACTATTTATTTGGTGATTGAAGCAATGAGATTACAGTGTAGCTAATCTGTTGGCGGTTTACAGTGAAGCTATGAGCTGAGAGATTCTCCTGACCAGTGTATTGAAAAGCATTGTGTTCATTAGACAATGATAGGTAGGAGACAAGAAATTGATGATAAAGAACATAATTTATTTACAGGGGAGTTAGAGGATCTAACATCTACAATTCGGCAAAGAACACATTCTTGTCGCAACAACTAAGGCAATGTGCTTTCCTTCCTGTTTTTTCTGTAGAAAGTCTCAGATAAAATAATGAATATAGTATTGAACCACACCTGTTGATGGTGGCCTTCTCTGAGTCGATGGGCTCTGTGAAGCGGTCGTCCAAACTGTCTGTGCTGTCATCGTCTGCCTCCGTGCAGACTTTCTTCAGCTCCACGCGGTCCATGGTTACGGCTGTAGTGGTGCGGGGCTGGGGAAGGGGTCACAGTCCAAAGCAGAGCAGTTGTACTCGGTAGGTTGGCGTGCTTTATCTCAGCCTTACACTATAGGGCAAATACCTGCAGAAAACAGCAAAGGGAGAGATAGGAAACGTTATACAAATATTCATAGCTACTGATGTGGCGGGAAGCCCTTATAACCAGCAAACATACAACCAATCATTCAATGTTGTCTCAACTAGCCATCATTTCTTTGTAATTACACTTTGACTAGCCCCCTATAGTGAGAAGATCCCTAATAAGATAAAAAGTAGCACATGTCCAGTCAAAAAGGTCATGGCCACAAGTATTCTCTGATTTGACTGTGTAACAATCTGTCAACAATGAGCTAGTTACTGTTATGAAGATACATTCAATGAGTCTTATCTGACTGGCCAGAACTCTAGGGCCTTGACAAAGGACACTTCAAGGGGAAGACAAGGTGTCATTCTACACACACCATTCTGTGTCACATTCCCCTGAACCTGCAGCACCATTTTATCTCCCCATTCGATACATGTTGGTAGCTCACGCACTTCAGTGTGCTTTAACTAAGGCATCTTTCATAAACAATATCACTGTTCCTGTCACGCATTGGAATCTTGACGTTCCGTGCTGATTGGTTTTGGATACCTTTTGTACTCTGCTGTACACTGAGAGTTAACAAAATGGCCTCCAACTGTATCAAGTTCAAAGGGATTTTGTAGTCGATGTAGATAAGTAATTGTAGTATTTTTTTGCTTGACATACCGTAAAATTCCATATAAATTGTGACCTCAATTTTACATATCTCCTATTTTTTGAGAATAGCACACATTATTTTCCCTAAAATAACCTCTAAGTAACCCTTTCAGACACACGCCCATGTTCTATTGTTGCAGTGCAGTTTCCTTTATGATACTATAACCAAATTCATTTCAGGTGGGTTAAAGCAAGTCTCAACATTATGTCAAAAACACGTCTGAATCCTAAATACAGGTCAAAGAGGTTGGCTAATGGGGCCATGAGGCAGGCAAGTTTTCCGACCAAATGTTCCTAACCTCTGGGAGAGCAAGCTACAAAGGCCTGTCTGTATTGCTGTCCACGTTTAACCCAATTCAATTGAATGCACTGAGTGCATGAAGTGGTGAGCCGGCAGGGGGCATGTGTTCTTATTTCCATTCTATTGAACATTTGATTGCCGCTATTACGTAACAACAAGATGAGGCACTGGGCAGCGCACACAGAGTTCTGCTAAATTATTTTAACAGCCAATTACCCACAGTGCTGTTCTTCCCATACAAAGGCTTCTTTGACAGGAATGGGTAAAAACAGCCGAGCAGCCAGGGCCCTTGTCCAGCCAGGTTCCCAAAAGTCGCACCCTGCTCCCTCCCCTGTCCTACCGACCAATACCCCAGGAAAAACACAACGGTGATACACATCAAAACCAAAGTAACAAACATGGTTGTCCGACGCTGTGACAAAGCCATAAACAATCAGTTATGGAATACAACCCCAACCCAAGTCCATGAATTTACATTTCAGTGTTGCCCATCAAAAAACAAGCATTGTAAAAACTATTCGAAAGGATTTTTAGTACTAGAAAATACATTTCAACTCTTGCCCCAGGCATTGAAAGGCGCTGATGAAACTGGGCCAAGTATAAAATCCATCATCCTCACATAATCGTCAAAGCACGCCACGTTAACAGTCAAGAAGCCATTACATAAGTAAGTCTATGCACAGTAGGTCCTCCATGTTGTACCCAGTCAAGACAGAGATCCATGGCCTACCTTTAACTCCATTCTGTGGAGAAGCCATAAACAGACATGCCTGAACCTGTTTCTTACCACACACCTCTTTTGTTGTGACTGCTGTCATCTACCCTGTCTGGAAACATATAGCCAAGCCAATCATTAGCTGTTTGTGAAGCATGTCTCTACATACTTAGTTTTACCTAGCATGTCTACTCTACACAGTTCTGGTTTGATCACATTCCGGTTCCTGCTGTGCATGTGCCAGTTGCGTTCCTGGAACTACTGTGTGTCCTAGTACATTTCCTATGTTATGTCTCCTCTAGATAGATAGATTGCCTGGTAAGACTATACCTTCGTATTGGTAGATATTTGTATCTTTGTGTTCGAAAGTGTGCATGCAAAAAAACACAATCAATCATTGTCCCAACTGTACACCTCCCCAGTGTGCTACCCTTCTGCAAATAAGAAGGAACCTGCTCAGCCAGACCCCCTTCACCCAGGCAGCTAAGCACTCCACTGCTCCCCATGCATATGCCTTGTGTTATGTTATGACTAAGCCATAACCCCAGCAAAATCCTCAAACCTTTGCTTTTCATGCACATCCGAAATGTATGCTTTACCCACTGTTGTTAAAACCACCTCTACTTTTGCATATGATTGTTTGAAACACATTTTATATTGGATAACAACAACTGAGTGAATTTGATTTAAAGTTGTCACAGTGTGTTTGTCAATGTGTCTGTTTGTGCATTTGCTGTTTGATAAAACATATGTGATAAATGCACGCAAGTACAGACGTAGGATCTTAATCTGAGCCAGTTTGCTACAGCAGGAAAATAATCCTGCAGCAACAGGAAATGTGAATTATTACATGGATTATAATTAATGGACATTTTGTGTAGGGGTTGATACTTTTTTCGTTAAGGCAAATCAAATATGACATTTTAAAGTGGAAATTACAAACTTTAGAAGCCTTTTTAAAGTTTGCATGTCCTGCTGTGAAGGAAAATTCCTGCAACAACAGGATGATCAAATTAAGATATGGCATCTGTATGCCAAATCGGGTATTGCATTATCAAATACAATATTTGACACCAAGCCTTGTACACTGTGCCAATAAAGAACCTTCTTGAAAATGCCTAACGCCTAAATCTAATATAGTGTGCTTGCATACAAGGCTACAACACTTTTAATAGAGCATGTAGAACTGTGACACAACAAACACTCATCAAAAGAGATTAATTCTTCTAATCCAATTTGCCAACAGCGTGACATCAATCATCTGAATGGGAAAAACATGAACTTCATTAGTTTTATTTGTCCAGAAGTAGCAGAAAATAAGTCTGTGAAACTTACATAACACTCAACTCCAAGTTTAAGGACACAACAAAAGTACAGTACCATAGGATTCCATTCTTACTGGAGGTAGACAACACATCATTAGCTCAAAGATTAGCTCTGTCTAACTCAAACTACCACTCAAATTAGTCCCACTTCAGCAATGCCTTTGTTCTCTCAACAACCCAACAAAACATCTAATAAACCTACAAACTAATTCTCAAAGGAAACCTACTGAATTTCAACCAATGAAATACCTAGCACAATCTTTAAGCACAAGACAAACTAATTCAGCTAGGTGCATCTACAGTTTCTCAAGAAAACGGTGGAAAATTCTACACTTTTCTCTACAATATTTTTTATTTTCTCAGCAGTTACAACTTAGTGCCTATTTGAATCATAAACTTAGACCAAGGTAACTAAAGTTCCCTACATAAGAAGCAGATAAATCATGTGGAAAAGGAGACATACTCACTCCTTCAGAGATGACAGAGTGGGGTTCCGACGTGGGGTTTTCTGTTTGTTTTGGTTGGAGAATGAGGACAGTACTAGTGAGCAGCCAGGAGAGGTATGAGCTGCTGCTTTTTTGTAACCCAGGTGAGAGGAAGGCTTTTAAAGAGCAGGGGAAGAACCCACCCTGGCCAATCACGTCAGGAGCCTGAAGCCAACAACCCCCCCCCCCCCCCCCACGTCAATGAAATAGGAGCAAGAGAGAGAGGGAGAAAGGCAGAAAGAGAGAGTGAGGGAGGAGAAGACAGGGAGGAGTTAGAGAGAGAGATAGAGGGAAAGAGAGAGGGACAGCACACAGACATCCTGAAAGCTCGGCCAAGATTGCACAGTGAGCGTTGTTGCATCAACTGCTGTTTGTTCTGTGATAGCCCGCCGAGCACACACCCCGGGTGGTCATCCCTGGGAGCAAACGGTACCGTCCTCATGCTGCGGTCACTGTCCTACCCTGTCCTGTCCTGTCCTCAACCACACACCCCTCCCTTCCCACTACTCCTACCCCCTACTACCATGGGTTTACTCAGCGTACTGTTAAGCGTTCAGAGCCTGCTAGAGACAACTGGCATCCACCGGGGAGGCTGTGACACTGTCCGCCAATCAGAGGCCGCAGCTGAGTGTGTCGTTGAGCGCAAGGTCACACTCTGCTGAAGGATGGAGTCTTAACAGTCCAACTTTGTAATCCCCCTCACACACACGTACACACACACACACACATTATACACAGAGAAACTTCAAATCACACACACTAAATGCTTCTATTGAGTCCACAACCAACCTTCACATTTTCTAAACTAAAATAAAGAATACTGAAAGTATTGTCTGGTCCACACCTGTTACAGCAGAGGCAGAGCAGTACGTTCACACAACATCACTCAAACATCCAGAACAATTAAAATCTCCACAGAATAACCTAAATATCATGTAGTATATTCACATGTAGTATTTGTAATTAGTTACATGTTAAGAGACAAAACAAGAGACAAAACAAACCAATTTTGCAAGTAAGTTATCTCAACCATTCAAAGATTGAGTCAGTCAGGAGGATCCAAAGCTGGAAGACAATTCAACAAGGGTTAATGATGTAGCATTATCTCCATCTATACCTCAATCATCACTCACGGAAAATGATCTGTTACTAAGCACCAATAGACCGAAAACACAAACAGAAATACTCCTCTATGCTACCATTGGCAATGCATCACCACTATGGCAAATGACATGGAAAATATCCGGCCTATTCAGACAATTTATAAAAAACAAGTTCAGAAATTCAAATCAGAGCTCAACCAGAGTGACATTTTTACGACAAAGTAAGAGAAATTAATGAAATTAAAAGGTTAATTCTAGTGAAATTCCTACTGACCACGCCTGACATCTTCACAGACTTC